CTTATTCGCTCCACAACGTATTAATCCTCAACGCATTTTTGTTATCCGTTTTTGTTCTTGTTTTCGTTTTGTTCTGTAATAGTTTATAAATAAATAAATGTTACATAAAAATAGTAGTRGTGATCAGAGTTCAAACCAATAGTATTCTAGTTCCTGATTCTTGCCGCTACATGCCCCAATCTCAAACGTCACCTAGCGAACTGATGATATAACTAAATTCTTCCCAATTATCGTTGATTTGTTTTATTCGTCTCTATACAATCATAAACAATAAAATTTAAAATTAAAAAAACTGTATTTTCATTTTTATAATTCTGTTGATTCATGGATTATAAACTATTTTCATTTAAAAAAGTAATTTTGGATCGAAAAAACAAAAAGTGTTGTTTATGATTGTCTTTATGATTTTCAAAACTTTAATACGATTACTTCCTCTACAGTAATGTTATATACTTCATGAGTAACGTTGTGTTGTAGAAACACAAACTTAAGCATAACCAAGAATCAAAAAATACATTAATATATATATATTTATGTGTATAATTATAATAATTAAAAAACTAATGCAACACATAAAAAATGAATTAAATTTGATATCGTTACTTAATATGCTTTCATTATAACCTAACGAAAAATTGTTTATTTTTATTCAATTTTTAAAAGTATAGTGAAATAAGTTAATGCTGCAAAATAATGTCAAACACGATAAGTGGGAAGAATTTGTTACGTCCTACCGGACTACAATGCAAAAATTTACACGAATATTTAAAGTCACGTCCACCAGAAGTGTTAAGTAAATTATATCACAATCCGCCTATATGTTTGGCTGTGTTTCGTGAACTGCCTGTTATAGCTAAACATTATATCATGAGATTATTATTCGTCGAACAGGCAGTTCCACAAGCAGTAATAGCTTCTTGGTGTTCTAAACTCTACCTCGAGGATCATCAAAAAGTAGTTGTAATTCTAAAAGAATTAAATATATGGAGAGAAACTGCTTTGCCTGGAGGATTACCAGGCTGGGTTGTACATGCATCTTTTAAGAAAAATTTAAAAATCGTTCTATTAGGAGGTGGTAAACCATGGACAATGTCTAATCAATTAGAAACTGATAGTAAACCTAGAGACGTAGCATTTTTAGATGGGTATGCATTAGAAAGATGGGAATGTGTTTTACATTATATGGTTGGTTCTCAACAGCAAGAAGGTAAATTCATTTAACACTAGTTAAATGTAGTAACTAAGTTATGCAAATGATTTAATAATTTCAAAATTGGCTTCAGGTATTTCGGCTGATGCTGTGAGAATACTTTTACATGCTGGTTTAATGAAACGGGATGAAGCCGATGGTAGTCCAGTTATCACGCAAGCAGGTTTTCAATTCTTATTGTTAGACACTGCATCACAAGTATGGTACTTTATATTGCAATACTTAGATACGATAGAAGCAAGAGGTCTTAATTTAGTTGAGTGCCTTACATTTCTATTCCAACTAAATTTTTCAACGCTTGGTAAAGATTATAGTACCGAAGGCATGTCCGAAAGCTTATTAACATTTCTACAACATCTAAGAGAATTTGGACTTGTTTATCAACGTAAACGAAAAGCTGGAAGGTTATTCAATTTAATATAATTTTAATAACTATTTTTCTTTTATCTATATACTAATTTTTTTGAATTATCTCTTATTTCTCTTATTAGGTTTTATCCAACCCGTTTAGCATTAAACATAGCAACTGGGCAAAATAAACCATTAGCTAAAGAAACTGGAAAAGAAGGATATATAGTTGTTGAAACTAATTACAGAGTATATGCTTATACTAATTCCAATTTGCAAGTTGCTTTGCTTGGATTATTTTGTGAAATGTTATATAGGTAAATCTAATAGTTTCCATATAATCAGAAAAATTAGTTCTTATTATTGCTAAACGACAACTTGCAGATTCCCAAACTTGGTGGTTTCAATATTAACAAGAGATTCAGTAAGACAAGCTTTAAAAAGTGGAATTACTGCGGCACAGATTATAGGGTATATAATTATAACTTATTTCATTTAATTTTTTTTATCAATAATCTCTAACTACATAATTAAGTATTGCACATTAAAGTTAATTTGCGTTCTGCTATATTAACAGTTATTTGCAGCAGCATGCACATAGTAAAATGTTAGAGGCAGGTCCACCTACATTGCCTCCGACTATTGTGGATCAAATTAAGTTATGGGAAAATGAAAGAAATAGATTTCTGTTTAGCGAAGGAGTCCTGTATAGTCATTTTCTGTCTCAAACCGATTTTGAAGTGCTTAGAAATCATGCACTTTCTACGGGTGTTCTGATCTGGCAAAATGACAGGTATGACAACAAAAATAAAAAGTTATTTTGACTTTTATATATAATAGATATATTATTATTACTATTATATATATATATAGATTATATATAGTAGAATACTGTTGTATTATTAAATTTTGTTTATTTTCTATGTAGAAAGCGAACAGTGGTAGTAACAAAAGCGGGTCACGATGATGTGAAAAAGTTTTGGAAAAGATATTCAAAAGGTTCCTCTTGAAAAATGTTAAGATTAAACAACATCAACGGAAACAAATTAAATATCACAAACGTCTTACATTTTCATTAGGTTGCTGGATAAAGATCTTTTTCAAGTGGAGTAAATATTCACATAAACACATTATGTACAAATACAGTATAGGTATTAATATATTTCGTAACACTACCAATGAAAATACGACATGAAAGATATACAATGTAACGTTTTAAGATTTGTATTAAGTAAAGCTATTTACAAATAATGAATAGATAAATGACGAGTAAAATATATTAAAATAACTAAACTGTGTATTACAATATTATTGGATTTTATTTCTTTCATTTTTTTGCGTTTTTACAGTAAATGAATTTGGTCATATTAATAATAAAAATTAATAATAATAAAAAAAAGAGTATGTAATTACCATTATATCCGACGTCTGTGATCAATAAGATTCATTGTTTCATTTTTTGCTCCTTTATATTTATTTAATGATGATTGTAATAAAACTGGATGCTTATCAACACACTAGTTGTGATAGTGATAATTGTAAAGTCTATATCACAGATTGTGTGTATAGTTTTATATAAGAATAGTATTTAATGTTAAGGTTATTAATCCTTAACAGAAATACTTGGTTAATATGCAACACTTTTTAGCATCAATCCCACATATTCGATGCTGAAGGAACTGGATGTCAGCGCTGTGGTGCCGCCTTTGGTTTAGGCATTTTAGACAATAACCCCTGTATCTCCTTCTTTTCATCATACGTTTTCCACAATTCATATAAATTTATAATGTAACGAGCTATTTCTTGAATTTTTTCCATGTCTGCATTTAATTCCGCAAACCATGATTTGAGATCTTTTTGTAATATTACACATGCAATTTGTAAGCATCCTACAATAGATTAGTTTAAAAATTAGTTCATCACAAAATGTGTAATATTTATCAGTTATTATAGTTCTTACCAATGGCTATTTGATATGGTGGATAAAGAAGACATACGTCTGTACGTAAACTATCATTTATAATACGCCAAGCTAATGTTAATAATTGATCATCTGGTCCAACATCTTGAATAAGAATTAAAAGAGGTCTATATGGTTGGTATACAATTAAACAACAATCTAAATGCTCCAAAAGATAAAATTCACATTCAAGAATATGATTTGTACGATATGGAAATTCTTGGGAGTATGCATAATTAAATTTGTTTTTTACTAGAAAAAAAAAATACAATATAATAAATAACAAATATTAATAAATTTAAATATAATTCTAAGTATATATGATTTTCTTTGCATACCTACTGTTTGACAAGTTGTTATTAACCTTGTATTAGAAATAACTCCAAATTCCTCAACTTTTGAAGCTAAGAAGACTGACGTAGGAGCTAATAATAAAGGATCAATACATTTTAAACTGTTACGGGCATAGAACCTTTTAAAATATACTGTCGCAGTAGCAATTACTTGCTGTCTTAATTTTAATTGTTCACCTAATACTTGAATAACTGAAACAAATATGAGAGAAAGATACAAATGATAAACAATAATAAATGTATTCGAATAATTTCTCTCAATAGAATATAATATATAAACCACTCATTTGTCAAATCAATTAATTTCACAAAATTGATAAATTTACATATATTGTTTAACAGTCATATAAAATATTGCTATTTAATAATTTTAGGCTTAAAAAATTAAGCATCAATCGAGCACTTTGATATCAAAATATTCTAAAAGTTAAATTCGTCGCTTTGACCTATGAATGGTTCCTATAATAATATAGAAATGTATTATGTTAAACTTACGATTGGAAAAAAAGATAAAAAGCTTTTGATATTCTTCTTCTGTTAAAATAGATAAATCATGCTGTCGCTCTCGTACTAAATCTTGTTTGTCAAGTAACCATTGTTGACTACAAAGTAAAATTCTTTAATAATTCATCATTTAATTTATTATATTGTAATATATCAATAACCTACTGGTGAGAGCTTTGCCAAAAATTTCCAGCCATTCTTCAATATTAGATCACAATATTTTAATTGCTAGAAATAAACAATTATAGGTGCATATCTATTTCTAAAAGATTTAAACCTTACTTATATATATATATGTTATATTTACATTTATGTATATTACTACGAATGAAAAAAATATAAAAACCTTATTTTCAGAACGAATTACCAATTTAACTAAAATTTGATTAAACAATGCTTCTGTTTATAAAATAACTATTACTAATAAGTCACATATATATGTTTATTTACATGCTATTACAAAAAATATACACGTGTAGAATCAATCAGAAATGACTGCATGTTCTATGAGAAATATGTAGTACTCTAGAAAACAAAGAGGCAAATATTCGATTACCATATTCTTTCTCTGTCTTACTCATGCATCTGCATTATGCAGAGTTACACACACACAACTAATAAGATAACACACATAAAATTAAATATTCGCGGGAAAAATAAAGAAATGGTTATATGCACAAAATCATTCAAGGTACGATAATACATAGATTTTTAATAGTAGTTTATCATTTTAACACAAATTATATTATATTATTTATTACATATATTTCTTCAAGTATTCAAAGATGTAAAAAGTAATTTCAAATTTAATCATTTACCATTATGACCTATGGTAAATCTTATAATGTATATGTGTAGCCAATCAAATGGCTTCTATGTTTATTCTAACTTAGTATCTTTAAGAATGTATAAAGTAGTTAACGTATACTGCTTTTCCTTTCGAAAAACCTTAGACTATTTTAATTATTGTAAATAATACTTTAGAAAATAAGTAATAACAATTTAACAAGTTAATTATTATTCTGTGTTATATACAATTAACAGTGTAAATGGTATATTATCGAGTTTCAAATCTTTCAATTGTATAACCATTGGATAAAAATATGTATGCAATTTCTATGTGCACTTGAAGGTTAGATTTTTCAGTGTAATTATTGTCACGCTGATAATATAAGATGACATTTATATTAAGATCCTTAACTTTAAAGGGTACATTAAAAAATACATTTTTACCAATTACATGTTTCAATAAAATAACAAATTCATTGGTACATACATCGAAATGTAAGTTTTATTCAAGTATATTCGCATAATTTCAGATGACGTTTTAAAAATTACTGAATTAATGTCCCAAAAAAATTTCTTATTTTGTTTTAATGCATGCATAATATTTTTTATTTTATATAAAAAATATCGTACATGTAAAACTTATTAAGAAAAAGCAAGACATTTTTGGGACAACCAAATATTTATGTAATATTAAAATAAATAATTAATCTATATGTTTAAATTTTTGTAGGGTTACTACATGGAGAATATGAAATGCAAGATCCAAAATCAGAAGCCGATGTGTAGGTAAACTTAGCATTTAACATTGAATATTTTTATCCAAAGTATATATAAACGAATAGTAATAAATTATATAATAAATATTCATATTGATTTAAAATGCTTGCTATTTTATACTCTAGAGTAAATATTACATTTGTGGACAAAACAGGGAAGAAAATACCGGTGAGAGGTAAAGTAGGAGATAATGTACTTTATTTAGCACACAGATATGGAATAGAAATGGAAGGAGCGTGTGAAGCTTCTCTTGCTTGTACTACATGTCATGTGTATGTAGATCATGATTATTTAAATAAACTTTCACAAGCAGAGGAGCAAGAAGAGGATCTATTAGATTTAGCACCTTTTTTAAAAGAAAATTCTAGATTAGGTATATATGTATATATATATATATATATAATCTGTCACTTATTTTGTTAAAATTATGTCCACTTGTAATTGTTATTTTAAATTACAATTTCTTATTTTATTTTAGGTTGTCAAATAACATTAACAAAAGAATTAGATGGTATTGTAGTAGAATTACCTAAAGCGACTAGAAACTTTTATGTCGATGGTCATACTCCAACGTCACATTAAAATAGATTTTATATATAGATATTTATAATTAAATAGTTTATATATCTTAACAAATGCATCTGCTGAAAAATATTTATAAATTGTATAAAGAATAGAGTTATATTATTTAAATAAATATATTCAATCTCGTAAATTAATACGTTACAATAATGTATTTAATATTCTTGTATGTAAAATGGTTTATATTTATCTAATGTTTCATTGTGGTACAATATATTTTATTTTTCATACAGTTGGATTATGATACATATTTTTTTAATTACAATGATACAAGATTTAAACATTTATGATACAATGAATTTGTGAATTAAAATCTTACTCGTTGATCTTGCAGCATTTACATTGTGAGTGAGAGTCTTATAGGACAAGTTTTTACAATCTAATCTCACATCACTTGAGTGCTGCCATAAACGTTTAACACTTGTTTTATTTTTGGCAGGCACTTTTGCGAATTATCCCAGTTTGATAATTTTTATAATAGCTTTGTGTGTATTTATATGTGCATATTCATTTAAATTTATTTATTTGTGTAAATTTTTGCACATATCACTTTTGCCCACACAAACACACGCATACATCACATATGAGCGCGTTTATATATTCATACATTCGTATATTCTTCTATTTGTATCAATGATTATTATCACCAATTATTATCATCCTTGTACAAATTATATTATTTATATTTTCTCTTGATTAATTGATTACTATGACCATAGATATTTTTAAAATATGCTTCAATTACATTAAACACTCATACTAAATCGTTGAGAAAATTTAAACAAGATTCAAGCACACTTCATTCATCAATCTGTAAAAACCGTAATACACATATTTCTCATTTGGTGTAGATCATCACAACAAACTTACAGAAAAAGTAACTTTTGTACTTTTCTATAATCAAACGAAGATTTGTGTTACATAAATGATATCCTATAATAGAAATTACGATAGAATACTATGAAATCCATATGTTATAATTTTATATAAGAACAAAAATTAATTCAATAGTTAAGTAATATGTTTTTATATTTAAAAATACTTGCAATTGCAGTTAATAAGTAAATTTTTAAGTTTTAAAAATATCAAAGCTCAAAAAAATTACATTTAGATTAAATAATATGTGCATTACAAAATTTAACTTATTTTTTTTGTAAAATTACAAACAGCTTTATTATGTATATGTATCTATACTAGTATATCTAGCACGCATATTTGTATATTACTTTAAATAAAATATTATTTAATTGGATTGCAAGTATTCATACACAAAGATATTATTTTTAATATTTTTTTTTTAAATCAAAAGATTGAAAAAATATTTTAAGAACAAAAAGAAAATGATCGTATTTGTAATCTAGTTTATGATTTTACGTGTATTAATAGACGATAAACAAGATTTTTAACTAACACAGATAATTATTATATTAATGAAATTAAAAATGAGATATATATATGTATATATATATTTTTAAACATACATTTAAAATCTTTGTACTCTAAATTTAGATTAAATAAAAATTTATGAAATATTGGCAACACTAATGAACAGAAGTTAGTTATTGTGATTTGATTAATATTTTTTTGATATTTTTTTTATCGCAACCATTGTTTTGCTTTATAAATAGAATTCAAATTTGTTAATTGCTATTCAGAACAAGTATTTATGAAAATTTCAAAATTACTGTATTTATTCAGGAACCAATTTTCTAGTGTATTCTCTCTTTGCATAATATTACTATTTATATGTATGCTATTTTAATATTTAGTCAAGTATAATTATTAAGTAAATTATATAGATAAATACACTAAAATATAATTTAAGAGTTACTGCATTTAGATGGACATAACGGAACACATCAATAAAATATTTATTATGAATGGATGGATGCTTAAATCAGTGTTCATAAATATGAACTACCATGGAAGAAGGCTAGCCATTATCATATGACATATAACATTTAGATACTTCAATAAAATTGTTCAAATAAAACGAGCATGTATGTATAGTAATAATATAGATGCACATACATTTTGAATTTAAGAGCAATAAATGTTCATTTTAAGAGGAAAATACAAATAGTTGTTTTGTATAAACTTTTGATACTTATTTTTTATGGCATATAAGAAGCAATCCATAAACACTAATATATTAATAGACTAGAAATATTGAACATATAACAAAGTATTAATTATTTAAATAAGCATAGACGTGTGCTATTTTGAAAATACATTCTTTGTCACTTTGTACAATTCTAAAATATATCATGCATTGTTGTTATTAATGTTTGCAGAACAATCACATGCTTGTAGTTTTTTTAATTATATAACAAATAACATATTTCTTGTAAATTGCTTCTACAAATACAAATGTATTGTTAGCAATTTTGTAGTAATAATTTCTTAAAAATAATATTGTAAATATTTTACATTATATATCAATAAGCAGATCATATGAAGAACTACCTAGCACATTTTGAAGCTTTGGTTTAAAAAATATATTACAATCTCTATATACATTCTCTTTATACATAGAGATAAATGTCAAGGTGATTTACATAATATGATAAACAAATATAAGAATCTTTGCAATGTTAAAATTGTGCTTAGCTGTAAAGTATAACAGCGCGATCTATATTATGGCACTATTTATCTAAGAGTATCATGATTAAATGGCAATTAAATTTTTACAAATATGTAATCAGATCCGTAGATATTTCTTCAACATATCTTTTAAATATATATAACATAATTAATTAGTAAAGATCAAGATAATAATTATTGCTTAAGCTAGCTGCTTTTTATTTCATATAAGATCAAATAAACTGGTTCTACTTAAATAACTGATAGTACTAAAATGAAAAATCATAAATATATTTACAGACTTTTAATAAAACTGACCTGCAAATAAAAAAGAAATTATTATTTTTTATAAATACTTTCATAATGTACAATATTAATGCATTAATGCATATAATATATGAATAAATATTACCAAAAGAGAGCATAAGCATTAGAGAGAACATTAAAATAAAATAATTTATTATTATTAATAAAAATAAGTAAAAATGAAGATAATAATTAGTATCGTATATTTTTGTGAAATACTCTAAGTGCCATGAGTAACACTAAGAATCAGATCATTATTTAATTAGAAATCTGTTATATTTCAATCTTTTTTTTTTTAATGTGTCATTATTCTTTATTAAATAATATTCAGACAATTTAAATTAATAATTATAAATCTTCTCCTTACATCAGGCACTGGTCACAAATATTTGTATTTGCTTTGTGAAGAAGTTGTATTTATTAAATATTAGCTACTGTTTGCATCTTACGAGACGCAGCCAGCTTTTGTCAATCTATTTTTATCAATAAAATACATAAAAATACGTATAATATGTTCTAAAATATCACAAAATTTGTACAATATAGGCACCCATAACATGGTTTGCAACTTAGAAGATTATTCAATCACCTTGACAATAATTTTTGTATTTTTTAGGAAATTAATTATTCAAGTGATTGCAGCAGCAACATAGCATACATGCAAATATTGCAATGCTTTCCATCATATATTTTAATGAGATAATTTTCAACGACTAATAAATGATAAATATAGAGTAATTTTTACTTTATCTTGATTAACTTTACAGTTTCAATTTACTCTTGTTTCCCAACTTTATTACATACTAATAAGGGCTAGAAAATTAGCAAATACTGGCTTTAACTTTTGTAGTATAATCAGAACTTATGAATAGAACACATTCTTACACTTTCATTCTGACAATCGCAGCAATGCTCGATTCCAGTGTGGACATTGTGCTCTCTATACACACATTACACGAGGCAGAGAATAATAATTCAAACTGGGAATATAAAGTTTTTTGCATTATCTCACAGCTGCACTCTCATAATTTACACCATGTACAATACATAGTTGCTCAGTCCTATCCATAGACCAATTGTGGTGGAAGTATAAATACTATCTTACTTCCATCTGTCATTGTTTAATATACAGTTGTGACTAAACAATTCATACTGCTAATAAAGTTTACAAAACGTACGGAATATACACAGTGTGAAGGCTAAATGCATCTTGTGCTCCATATCATTTTCTTTGTCAGTTTAATTCTCACAGATGATGTTGATGGATTAGTGCGTGTACTGGAAGCTGTCTGCCCCTTTGATACCTCTGACAACGTCCCATACTCAGATCGTGACATTCATACACATTAGCGACTGCACTACGCGATGATGAAAACTTTGTTGATTCAACTGAGTATGGAGCAGAGACATCAAAGGGATCCTCCAGTTATTCCGTTGGATGATGACGACCTCCACACATTCCGCACGATATTCCACACCAGTGAACAGCTCTGAGTGGGGGATAAATCCATAAACACGGAACAATTAGTGATAATAATGCTAAACCAATCCATCTTCGTCCACATCCTTCTTCCGTATTACAACTACAGAATTATATATTAATTAAATCTTAAGCAATCATATACGTACATTTTAAGTTAATAAAATAAAGTTTTTATACAAAGTTTTTTAATAAAACTTACCTACAAGGATTTTGGGCAAATTCACCTTCAGCATCGCTCATACAATGATACAGCATACACTGAGCACATGATAAACAAGATATTGTTGCTATTCCACGTTTAAAAGGATCAGGAGCATCCTCGCAAGATCCCCTAGGATTGTTCTGCTCAGAATATAATTCTTGGCAATGTTTACATCGGAAGTGAACATTACGTCTGATAGTATTTTTTGAAGGTTGTGACACTATAATGTCGGGTTTTTTCAAAGAACTTCCACTACTGTGCCTGTCTAATCTATCACTTTTATGATCATCGACGATGGGATATAAATATTCATGGTTAACTGTTGTGAGATGCACATAGGAGTAATTATCAGATCCAATGTCTGTAGTTGATGTTAAAGGATGCTGAGATAGTGATACTTTGTTGGCGGATCCACCAATGTAATGAATAGGTTTATTATGTGAATCAAAAACATCTGGACACTGGGGATGGTAAATAGGTACACGAACTACTCCACGAGATGTATCCGAAGATGGACGTGGATCTAGTGGTTCCACAGGTAGATTTAAGGTCTGTAAAATTAGCAAAATATCAATTGATATGACGAATTTCAAATATGTATTTTAAGATTGTTCAATTCTTACCATAAAAACATCTTCGTCACCACCATCTGCAGAATTACAGCACAATGTTGATTCCGCAAGTCCTATAATATTATAATAACAAAATACTAATAAATTTAATTATTTACACATTGTATAGCAAACAATGATAGACTATACATTTTTTTGTACAGCTTACCAGTTGTACAATCCATATAAAAATGCAGCAAAATAACAAACAAAAAAAATTAATAATTAATGATATGTCACTTTTTACTCTATATTTACTATTTAAGATAACAGAATAATGGACTTGTATCTTAATGCACTCTTAGTCACATTATATTTGTTCATTATCTTTAAATATTCAGGAAGAACAAATCATTTTATTATATTAAAAATACATTTTAAACACAAAAAAAAGTGGCATGGTGTTTTTAGTATAATAAACATGTTTTAACATTTAATCTATTAATATATATTATTACGAGTCTTACCTTCCAACAGTTCTTCCACTGCAGTACGTACACCTTTATCGAATGCTCTTGCATCCGCAGCCGTTGTAAAAGTTAATCCAAATTTTTTCTCTCCTGTCCGCCAATGATGAAAAGTTGGCATTACCTTATTATATTCAAAATCCTTTTTAATAGTACAGCTAAGAACAACCTACAAAGATAAAGAATAAATAAAGATGTTTTATAATATAATGATAAAGCACTTAATATTATAATTTGCTATTAAACTGTTACATCATAATACCGATTGATCGGTGATACGTTTCCCAAAGATAAGATATTCATGTTTTTTTTTTGTTGCACTAGGTGGAGAAGTACTAGATCCATGACCCTGCGCGTTGACAGTTGTACTCAAAGTTGTAGTGTTAACATTCGAAGTAGAAATACTTGTACCATTGGTATTATTAGACTGAAGTCCACCCACTGAGGTTGCTCTACGTCTCACAGAAACATTAGCTAAACCACCTCCACTAAGAGGAACCCATCCACCAGAACTATCATCTCTCGTCATTACTTGGGCACAAACCCTCACTAAGTAGTTACCACTAAAATACAATAACAATAAGATTAATTGAGATCAATTTTATATTACCATATTAATATGTAAATAGATATAGTACAAAAAAAAACATTATACCATGGAAAGGAATTTGACAAGTTGTACACAAAATTCAATTAATCTAGCATAATTGGAAATACATAGAGTGGTAAAGGATATAATTTATTAAAAATTTAAAAAACGTTGTTTTAAAAAATTAATGAAAGGAAAGAAGGATCGTTTAAATATAAATTTATTTCATATAATAGCCGGGGGAGGGGGTAAAATATTCAAAATCGTCAGTAATACAACTACAAAGCAGATGTTACACGCTGACATCGATTCAATGAATGAACAGTCAGCTATGCACGAACACACACCGGATGACATACCAACACGTTTGTAGAAAGGAGTATACGACATACGTTTACATGTGTAAATTCGTAGGAGGAGCGACGAAAAGATAATGTGAGAGATTCCCGAAAGAGGGGGAACTTAACGGTCGTAAAAAAGTCACACAATATATATAAAAAAAAAA